ATAGCTTTAAAAAAAAAAAAAAAAAAAAAAAAAAAACAGGTATCGCACCTGCTGGTGGGTGCAGCTCCCGCATGTTCCCTCGTTGGAGGCTTCAGCACGGATGTGGCTGCTAAGGGGTTCCCCGTAATACTATAATGACAATAAAAAAGGCCTGAAAGGCCGTCCTGTCCAGATTTGACAGGTAATTGAATTGGTTGGGCAGGAAAACTGAAATGACCTGAAGTAATCTGAACTTTAAATAGCAAATACCTTTTGAACGGTCTCCTTCCGAAAGTCATCATAGCGGTATTTTGCACGGCATTTTGGCTCCACCATCAAGTTATAGAGGGCAAGCCAGACCTTCACACAGCACATATACATTGTCACAGTGTCCATACGAGGTGAGAACAAGCGAATTCAAATGCGAAGAGAAAAGCAAAAAGGCAAAAAGGGGGATAGCAAACTCAGCAGAAAAGATAAGTCACGTGTGGTCAGTGGTTAGGTAAGTAACTGACATAACCGCTGACCATTTCAGTGGTTAGGTGAGCAATCGCAATGATCTCACGTGGAGTTGTCATCCTTCTCATCAAACAAACTGAGTAGAGAATGTTCAACAGTTTTCCAAACACGCATGCATAGCGAGTACCAAGAGAACAACCAACTTGTTTTATTTCAAGAATTTACACAGCTGAGAAATCTGGCCACAACGTCCATCAGACAACAGCTTCAGATATGTGTCTCGCTACTCTCTCCCTCTCTCTCCCTCTCTCAGTATGCACACCATCTCCCTCTCTTCCTCTAGCATGTACACGCTCTCTTCCCTCTCATGTATGTACACTCTCCCTCTCTGCCTCACGTTCTCTATGCCTGGATCTATCCCTGAATACACCTTCCTCCTTGGTCTCCAGCAGCTATGGCCGCCTGTTGCTTCTTCACCCCAGCGGCTATGCCCTCCTTCCTCTTTGTCACCTCCAACTTGCTTCACATCGTCCTCCTTGTTACCACAAGGCACAGGGTCGTCCTCCTCGTTACCACAAGCCACAGGGTCGTGATGGTCGCACAAGCCGCGCAGTGCTTCTGCAACATGCAACTCGGAATGAATCGCTAAGGCACTGTGCTTGCTTATATGGTTGCATGGACTGGGTGGGTCTGTCTGGATCGGTACCGGCCGCTTGGGCCTGTGTGCAGTGGACTGCATGTTTCTTGGGTACTGGTGCCTTCCGGAAGGTGCTGCTGCAAGGTTGGACTGTCGACTTCTGGACTTTTCCTTTGGTACCAGGCCCAACCAGTAACGACTTGACTTCTGGACTCTTCAAGTCCAACAGGTAGACTTCGACCTCTAGACCGTTCTTGGCTTGGGCCTCTGACTGCCCGAAACTGGACCCTGCCAACTTCTAACGGAACCGGACCTGTAATTTTGACTGGAAGCTTCTGGACTGGGCCCTGCCTGACCGTGTTTTAGCATCTTTCCTGTGAGGGTACCCTCAACTCTTCGAATTTGGCCTGGGCCTAAGGGCTTGAGATTTTCTAAGGGCCGACAGGGCCTGGCTAATAGTCATGTGAATCCGTTCACAATGCCCTAAGCTAGTGGTTAGGTAACTGACCTAACCACTGACCGCTACTGTTGCACACAGCACACGCAGTCGAGAAACCACAATAGTGGCCAAGACAAGTTGGCATTTTTTGAGGCCCAGTAGTTGTAGGCTAGGTCTTGGCGGGTAGCAGTCCAACCAGTCTGAGTCTAGGGCCTGTACGGGCCATATCAGAGTCTGCAATGATGTTCCCCTCCGAAAGAGAGGAGGTACCAATTGCTTGGAGGCCACGCAACCTAGGAAGTCACTCGCCAAGAGGCCAGCAGGCCGCTATATCTCCAGGAGGAGCAAGGTGCTCCTCCTCATTATCAGTGTGCAAGTTTGGCGACACACTGGTTGGAGCAATAACTGGAGCGGCGCTAGCATCAAGAGCAGCGCTGCTGGGGAGGAGCAAGGACAGGAGGTGGAAGAAGACCAGGACTAGGAGGGAGGAGCACCAAAGGTACTTACCTGGCTATGGTGGATGCCATCTTCATCACCTTGGTGGGTGCTGCATCTGGAAGGCCCTCGTTGGGGTTGAGCTACACCAAGAAGCTTCAAGGCAGAGTCAGGCATGTCGGCCTGAGTTAGAGCTGCCATAGCTGCTTTGTGTTGTCCTTTGCACAACAGGGCAGTGCCCTGGTAGTCGCCATACCCTCGGCCGTGAGAGGAGGAAGAGTCCGCCATTCCCTCTCTCTCCTAGAGGGGAGGACTCCATTACCATAGTGATAGGAGCTTGTCACAATCAAGAAGGGACTGAGGAGGAGGAATGAGACGGGCTTGAGGAGGAAGGGAGCCATAGCCAAGTAAGGAGAAGCATCACCAAGATTGGTACTTCAACTCCAAGATACTAGAGGAGGTGAGTGGAAAGGAGGAGCTTCTTCTTCTTCTTCTTCTTCTTCTTCTTCTTCCTCTTCTTCTTCCTCTTCTTCTTTCTTCTTCTCCTTCCTCTTCTTCTTCTTCTCCTTCCTCTTCCTCTTCTTCGCCTACTCCTCCATGTTCCCTCATCCACATTCCTTTTTGTTTTTTTCTTCCTCATCTTCTCCCTCCATGGGTGCTTTCCAAAGCTTAGCATAGGTAGTAGGAGACTTTTTCACTAGTGATGGTCTTCCCATGGACTCTTTCTTCACTCCATAGCAAATCACCACTTTCCACTTTGTGTTTCCATGCATGACAGTGAGTTTCACTCACTCTGTCTTCACTTTTTCTCCATTTCTTCGCTTAGTAGTAAATCACAACTTTGTTTCTTGACTTATTCTAGTATTTTGTGTGATTTTTCTCTCATGTTTTGTCCATTCCTTCACTCCAATGTAAATCGCCACTTTCCATTTTGTGTGTTCATGCTTGAGCTCTCTTCACTTTCTCTCCATTTCTTCACTTGGTAATAAATCGCAACTTTGTTTCCTGCTTAGTCTAGTATTTTGTGTGATCTTTCTCTCATGTTTTGTCCATTCCTTCACTCCAATGTAAATCGCAACTTTCCACTTTGTGTTTCATGCTTGAGAATGAGCTTCGATGCAATTGGGTGAACGGAGGTGTATTGGTTTGTGTGCGGTTGGGCGATTTAGTGGTGTGGTAGTTTGAGGTTGCGCTAGGTGTATTGGTTTGTGTGCAGTTGAACCTGGCTGTGATGGTGGCCAGGTACTTTCACCCCTTAGGACACGCGTGTGAAGGCGTGCAATTGGGCGAACGGAGGTGGATTGAGCTCAAATGCAGATTCAGTCCAGATGCTTTGAAGACATAATAAGAACAATTGTGCATCCTCCCACATTCTGGCGGGGAATTCACTCTTAGGATGCCTACCCACTTGGTGATCGTAGTGCCACTTAGCTTTTTGTTCGCACTGAGAGCTCGATCTGGGTGTTTTTTTTGGGTTTGCGTTGTGGTCCTCATTGACTTGGAGTGGTGGTCGTCATCAGGATCGTTGTGCCCAAGGTGTTCGTCACGAGCGTCTCCATCAGGATCGACGGGCTCAGCATGGATGCCGGATCGACGGGCTAAACATGGATGCTGGTTCATCGGAGAGGTTTCGTCGATCCGTGCACCTGGCCGCCTTCTAGTGGAAGGTGCATCCTCCAGTCGTTGGTCAAGCGAGACCGCGCGGAGCATGCGCTCAAGGGGGAGGCACTTACCGTCCTGGTTGTCGAATGCGGGGAGAGTCAGGAGCTGGGCAGTGCGTTGAAGTATCGATGTACCTTCACACGTTTTAACACAAGATTCATTCTCGTTTTGCGCATATGGTAGGTGGAGGACGAGGCCCATAGTCGAGTTTGCGGTTGTGCTCACCGCCTGCTGATTGGATATCCGCAGTGTGGTTGTGCTCGTCCCCGCTGCGAGCTCCTTCTTCGTTCCAGGTTGTCGTTCGACCAGTCGAGTTTCCTTGAAGTGTGTTCGCTCTCGTCGTACTTACAACCAGAGAGAAGGCACACGGACGGGGCAATGCATACTTACCCGGCCGGGGGGTATCCGAGACCACGAAGGCGAACAACAGATAGAGAGTCGAACGAGAAGACAACTGCGACCGAATCAAAATGCACACAAGGCAGGCATTATGAAGAAAGAGACGTCCGAGAAGAGAAAAGGGTAGTATATAGCAAGAAAAGGAAAGGTAAAGGAGAGAGGGGGCATACATACCTGGTCATGGTTGTGGCCTATGTATTCATCATTTGCATGCACTTCCTTTGTTGTTGGAACTGGCTTGTTGAGCGGGAACTTACCTCGCAAGCTGGCCATGCAGGACGAACTAAGAGTCTGCCGAACTACAAAGCCGCCAACAACCGGTCTTCCTCGTGAACGCGGTCATGATGTTGTTGCAACAGTCATTGTACGACTGAAACCGGTCGAGATCTGGGGCAGGTGATTAGAAATAGGGAGAAGACACGAACTCAGTCTGGGAAATTGTCTGTATGGTCGGGCTCTGGTGGCACTTCGAGTACAACTGTTGACAACAACGAGCTGTCTACTATCATGATCGCTGCGTGAGCAATGTCAAGCGATCTTGTAGCGTTTTGGGAGTTCATATGAGCTAGGATTTTGTTAAACGGTGAGTTTCGCCGGTGCGGTACACCCACTTGAAGGTAATGTAGGTGTTGAAAGGCGAGCTCGACGAGAGCAGAAATTCTGAGTCAAGCTTCAAGGAAGTTCAGGGAGGGAGCCACTATTTGTCAACTGACCATTATTGTTGTGCAGCGCTTTGCTATATTCTTTGTCGTGCCTTCGTTACACAATCACTGAGCTGCCCATTAGGAAGTGGGGGCGAGTTCCATTTTAGCGCATCCTTCCTAGACTGTGTAGCGGCGTTCTGATTAGGGGCTGCAACGTAAGGAAGTGATCAAGCTCGACAAGGAGGAACAATTTTATGATTTGAGGGAGTAGTCAAGCATCAGAAAGGAGGTCAATACAACGATTTGGAGGATCGTCAAACAGTGAACAATTGGCCATTTGACATCAGTTTGGCCAAGATGCTGCACATTTTGGCCGCCATTGCAGGGTCCTCAGGCGTGTCAAGGATTCAAGGCCCTCTCCCACGAGTTTGAGCGCACCTCTCTTAGATCTGAGCGACTAAATGTTTTTTTCTCTGCTCTTCTTACTCTAAGTCTGGTCTATTGGTTCTAAGAGGAAGACGGCAGGCGGGATTACAACTCGTAACCCGTGCCGAGGCCTTTGGGGAAAGGTGCGATTGCAGGAGCTCTGCCGGAACCTAGGCGAGGATCTGGAGGCAGGGGACTGAGTGGTAATCATCATCTCCTTCTATAAACCCAGCTAAAACCCTTACCTGTACATCTTTCT